GCATTTTAGGAAGCGGCATGCCACCCTCATGCATCAACCAACGAACCGCGTCAATAGGTACCTTGCCAACGCGATAACAGCACGCAGCATAGACCGAGAGAAGTCGCAACACGTCAACTTCTTCACATTGCGCTTTAAACAGTCGCAAAAAGAGAAAATGGTAATGTCAATAAATAAATAAATAAATAAATAAATAAATAAATAATATATATATATATATATAATAATACACACATACACACACACACACACACACACACACACACACACACACACACACACACACACACACACACACACACACACACAACACACCACAACTCCACACGCTATATACTGTGTCCCACAGGCACTTGGAGCGTTTCAATAAAATATAAGGCTAAATAAACACGAAATGTATTTACTACCAAAGTCTTAATGTTTCTCTACTCTATTTCGCCTATAATCACCTGTAAATGCCGGTCAAATGCTCATCTGCAACACACAAGTACACCACACCACAGGCACTTGGAGCGTCTCAATAAAATAAAAAAGGTAAATAAACACGAAATGTATTTACTACCAAAGTCTTAATGTTTCTCTACTCTCTTTCACCTATTATTGCCGACAATTTCCTGTAAATGCCGTCCAAATGCTCATCTCCAATACACTGTCACACGCTGGCCGCCGCGCGCTAGCTGCTGCACACTGACACATAAATATATAGTTATATATATATAACTATATATATTATATAACTATATATTTATGTGTCAGTGTGCAGCAGCTAGCGTGCGGTGTACTTGTGTGTTGCAGATGAGCATTTGACCGGCATTTACAGGTGATTATAGGCGAAATAGAGTAGAGAAACATTAAGACTTTGGTAGTAAATACATTTCGTGTTTATTTACCTTTTTTTATTGAGACGTTCGAAGTGCCTGTGGTAAACACGCACATACAAATGAACTGAAGCAAATCTAATTAAAAAAATGATCTATTTCAATGTGTTTATGGCATTGTCGGTTCTTACGCGGAAAATATATCGTAGCACTTGAACACCAGAAGAAGCGTTGGGTTGACAATAACTCCTATCGCAGTCCCAGCCATGAACAGAAACAGGATGAACTTGTAGACGGCAGAAGTGCGGATGAAGACAGCCACGGCGAGGTAGACGAGCAGCGAACAGGCAATCAGGTAGTGCGGTAGCGCGCACATCCCGTGCGCGAAGAACACGGCATGTAGTGGACTCTCGCGAATGGTGGCGCCCTCTCCTGCCAATTGGGTCTTATTCGCTAGCGCCTCGCCGGCACACGGTGAGCATGAAAACTGTATACGTATAATATAATTAGTTTAATTCAAAGTAAATTAATATATAATTAGTTTAATTTAAGTTGAATTAATGAATAATCATTTAATTCACAATTACATGATAGATATTTTAGCATTAGGCCAGACAATCTGTTATCATACCCCCCAGTAATGTGAAATCCGGCTGCTCACAAATACCGCGCATACCACAAACAGACAACACGATAATATCGATTCTGATTCGATATTCCAATGCCTGGAGCCTATGCCTATACCTATTCCTATGCCATATATTCCTATGCCAATGTAATCGGGGAAATATGGGAGCAATCGTTTGTAGATTGGTTGTTTCATTATTGCTCGTTTAATTGTTGCTTGTTTAATTACTTTAATTGCTCTAATTGCTAATCCAAAATTGAATGTAAAAATAAATTATCTAAGCTTTTCTAGATTATCAGATTATCTCGTGTGATCTTTAAAAAAAATTATTTTACGTTGAAACCCTCGCCGCCGGCGTTCTATCTTACCATGTTGACGACGGCGACGGCTTGTAGCATGACGGCCGTAACGCTCGTGAACATCAGCCGGACAGCGCTGCTCCGTCCCACGTCCCTTATCACCCACTGCAACACACGTGAACGCCAATCGCCATCAAGCCAGCGACGCGAAGAAAGCAAATCCATGAACATGTCTACACAATGCGTACGTGCGGACGCGCAGCACACACACTCGCACGCACATATACACCCACGTGCCCACACGCACGCACGCGCACGCAGTCGCACGACACGCACGCACGCACGCCGGCACACACCACACACACACACACACACACCACACACATACACGAAGGTATATGGCATACCCAATCTTGATCCTCTTTACTGATGAAGGACGGTCAGAAAAGGTCATCGACAAAATATATATTGGTACACTGATGACTACCGTGACGTTCATGTAGTGGACGTACATCTCTCACGCTCAAGTTTCCTAAGTCTACCGGCGTAGGCCTACACTTAAGCAAAATATTTACCAATTATTAATATTTTTAATTTCTGGACGGCTTGAAGCGGCGAGATGCTACTAGTAATACACCTCCGTCGCAATCCATGCGAATGTCACACGAAGAGAAGGAGCAAAGCAGTGTCCTAGCAGAGTAGAAAAAGGGGTAAAGTATATTTATTACGCTAACAATTTGTCAGTATA